GGCAGAAGGTTTGCTTGAACCCAGGAGTTTGAGGTTGCTGTGAGCAAGGCTGACATCACGGCACTCTAGCCCAGGCAACCCAGTGAGACTCTGTCTCAAAAAAAAAAAAAGTTGAATGTTTGTACCTCTCTATCCAACAATATTACTTCTAGGAATTTATCCTAAAGATATTCTCCTACATGCGTGGAAAACATATATCCAAAAATATTCATCGCAAAATTGTTTGTCGTAACAAAGAATTGCACACAACCTAAAAGTCCATTAATAAAACACAAGTAAAATAAATTACGGTACATTTGTATAAAGGAGTACTATGAAGTCAGTAAAAAGAACACAGCAGTTCTAGATGTACTGACACGAAAAGGTCTCCAAGATATATTGTTAAGTACACAAAGCAAGGTGCAGAACTGTGAGCACAGAAAATTACTCCCTTACCTGTGGTTTCACCTTCCTCAGTTTCAGTTACCCATAGTCAACTGTGGTCCAAAAATATTGAAAGGAAAATTCCAGAAATAAATACTTCATAAGTTTTAAATTGCATGCTGTTTTGAGTAGTGTGATGAAATCTCTCACCATCTTGCTCCATCCTTTCTTCATCACAAGAAGAAGGATGCTTACAGTACAATAAGATATTTTGAGAGAAAGATCCCACACTCACATATTTCTTTTTAAGAGGTGGAGTCTTGCAATGTTGCCCAGGCTGGATTCACATAACTTTTATTACAGTATAGTGTTGTAACTGTCCTGCTTTATTATTAGCTATTGTTTTTAGTCTCTTACTGTGCCTAATTTATACATTAAACTTTATCATAGGCATGTATGCATAGGAAAAAAACAGTATTTATGGGGTTTGGTACTACCTGCAGTCTCAGGGATCCACTGGGGCTCTTGGAACATATCCCCTGATGATAAGGGGGGGCTATCATACATATATGTACTTTATAGGCACTGCTATCTCTGAGATCACCCTCAAAAAATCTAGTTAAAGTGGTTACCCCTGGGGAATTTTAGGGAGAGCATATTTTATAACTATTCAAAAATTAATTTTTAAAAATTCGATATAGCAAAAACAGGCATAGAGGAAGCTAGTGAATTAGAGAAAAGAGAGTAGAGGATGACACTCAGGGGAACAAGAAAAGATGGGTAATCCAGAAGCCATGGTAGGACAAAGATTCCCTAACTGTGGGGTAAAGATGGGTTTATTCCTGAGAGGTGAATTCTGATGGGAACTTGGAAAAAGCCCTTATGGAAACTACAGCTGCAGAGCCAGGCGATGTCCATCGCAGGCTGGTAAGGGGCCAAGGCATGTGTGAGAACAGGGGAATAAGAGGGACTTGCCTCTAATAGTGCAGATCTGATTTAAAAAAAGTAACTTATTTGTATCCAGAAGATGACATATCTCCCTAATTTTTAACTTAATGCTTAAAGGAAATGTTCTAGCCCTTTCATACCTATATTCACACAAGATGCTAAAAGAAGGACAAATCAGTCAATCAATCAATAGATCAATGCTCATGATTTACACTACATCTTTCTCCTAAGAGTTCAAAGGCTTTAAATGTTTTACCTTCATTTATCTTTCCAACATTTGCATACCCACCATAGAATATAAATGGTACAAAATTGGGGGAAATGAGGCCATGTCTCAAGACGAATCACTTGCAGAAATAGGCCTGCAATTCAACTTTCCTTATTAAGTATCATGATTTTTTTACAACATATTAAGGCCATTTTGACAGCAAACAAGAGTGTCGCCTTTGGTATACTCTTAAATATGTGTGTGTGTATATTTACATACATGCATAGGTAGACACACATACAATCACACATACACACATGTACACACTCACTCATACATATATTATCTGGGCTCATAGCCAGCTCCATCAATGGGTTTAAACCACACTTGGGCATAATGATCAGTACATAATAATAAAACAGTGAAAGTGACCACGAGGCTGTTATAAATAAAGAAACTCACGTATATCATTGTAACTCAGAAATTTCAGTATGAGAACAAGTGAGAAAGAACAAACTTAAAAAAATAATTAGAAGTCAAATACACTTGTCACTGCACCCACTAAAAGGATTGAATTTAAAACTCAAACATCATCACATTGGAAGGGGAAATGAAAAGCTAATAACATGCATTGACGTTTACATAAAATTAGTATGTAAAGTGAGAGATATGAGCCTAATGATGAATATGAAACAACGGTTTGCATTTTAACAGACTAAGCAAAAATGTAATTGACAAAGAGGCCAATCTAAATGAATTTCCAGCTATTTAAACACTAAGTGCAGCTGCATGCTAATTGTCAATGTTATGAATTAGGAAAAAAAAATGTGTTTAAACTGAAAATTCAAAAAATAAATGCAGCCAATGTGTGAACTCACACACTGTACTGAAGTTACCATTGAATCAATCAGAAAAGGGTATTTTTTTCAAAAAAGTAATTTTTAAGCATCAGAATATTCATTCTGCAGTTACTTCATACTGATTGGGGAAAAAAGTATTTGGAGGCAAATGAAAATACTAAAGTGTTTCTGGGAGCAGCATCTTTCTTTCTTGGAATTAAGTCAAGATTAAAAACATTTGTTTTCAAGAAGAAGTTAATACAATAATATTTTATTTAACACTACTAATAGCAACAGGAACAACTTATGGTTGGTAGTTACCTTTACACTAAAACGTCTAACATTCTGCTATATCAAAAAATAATCTACTGTATTAAAGAAAGCACAGGAGTGCCTTTTATAGGAGTTGAATTCATAGCACAGAATATCCTAGTGGCAGTTGTGACCTCAGGCTCTGGCACCAGCCTTCATGAGTTCAAACCCTAACGCTACCATTTCTTGCTGTGTGAGTTCGAGCAGATCATTTAACCACACTGTGCCTCATCTTAGCAGAAGGATAACGGTTCCTACCTCTTAGGACCATTGTGAGAATTAAATGTATTCATATATGCAAGGAACACCAACCAAAGCCTGGCACATGCTCAATAAATGTGAGCTATCATCATCATTATCTTTAGTCAAAACAGCCATCTCTCAGAGCTGGCACTATTTTGTGGTAAAAGATAAAGACAAAGAAGATGGTGGCAAGCATGCCACAATCTTGCTGGTCCCTAGATGTGAAAGGAGTACTGTCATCTGTCACCTCCCATACTTTCTCCTCGGTGGATGGGGGTTATGGGAACATCTCTGGCCACTTGTCAGTAAAGATCAACTCTGGGTGGGAAACTGACTGAAGTACCCCTGCCCCAGGAGATGCTGCACCAGTGACTCTAGAACAGAGGGAGGCATCAACCCCATGGCTGTCTTGGGATGTGCTCTGAGATCTTGGCAGATTTTCCATACAATACCATCAGCCCTTAAAGAGATGGCTTGGTGACTGGGCATGCACCTGACTTTGCATCTGATCTTTCTCCAGATTCCTTGGAATATACCACACCAAATGTTTTATTAATCCTTGTATTTTCCAAGGTCATACAAAGGACAGGGCCCAGAAATCAAAGCTGATACACAACGATTTCATGTTCATTTTTCACTTTTAATTTACTGGAAGTTCCAACCCCTGAATAGAGGAAAAAAGGCCAAGTCTACAGGCATCTTGGCAGAGTGACAAGTCACCAAAAAGAAATGTGAATTCCCACAAAATAAACACACCAAGTCCAGGCTCCTGTGCATGCTCTCAAGTCCAGTGATACTGAGACCGGTCTGACATTCCTGCCAAGGGATGAAGACAAGGACAAAGGGAGAAGTCCTCGCCTTGAATCACATACGGCCTGGTTACAAAGCAGGACAAGAGGGCTCTGTCAGTGCGCAGTCAGGGCAGAGCAAACCCAGACTCCAAGGGGCTGAAAGGGATGCTTCCAGCTACCTGCGCAGGAGAGGGAAGGAATTACTCGACGTCCCTCCTGGACCCAGCTGGACCACAGGGCCTGGGTGAACACTTCTGGAGTAAAGATGACCTCAGGGCGAAATCTAGCTCTTCTGACCCTGTGTAGGACCTTCCTTTCCCGTGCCCCTCGGTGTCACCGACTCCTTGACCAGGGCTGTGAGACCTCAATCTCAGAAAAACCCACTCTTCAAAGAGGATCCGCTATCCTCGTTCACACCTTAGCATACATTTAACCCCATTATTTCTCTCTAACTCACTTTAATTCAATTATGATTTCCAAGGTGATGAGAGGCTTTATGCCCTGTTCAAACAAGGATCCATCCTGAGAAAATTGTAGCCCAGAGTCAGCGACGACCTACTCTGCTTGCATAAGACACCAGGCCTCATCTGCGAATCCAAAGCATACCGTTTCCACATTAAATGTCAAAAGTAGATAATTCCTACTAACCTAAATCGGACTTATAAAATAAACCAAACAGATTTCTCCCTTCATATCCTCAAATATCACAGAAAGACAATAATCCTTTAAACTTAAAAGGAAGCATCACAGAGGAAAGGGTTGTCAGAAAAACTAATTTTGGGTCCAGCGTCATGACTATCTTACCACGTCCTTTGAATTTTCTGGGCCTCGGTGTGCAAAGATAAAATTAATGGGTTTGATGGCTATCTAAGGTTCCTTTCAACTCTAACATTTCATGATCCATTAGTCATTTCCAGTTCAAGTACTTTCGGACACTGTGATAGCAAAAGTTCAATTTGCATTTAGAAATGAATATGAACTATGTGATCGAAGATACAAAAATGGACTTTTAAAATTAACGTAGCATGGGTGTGAGAAAGAAAACAGAGCATGCTGTAGAATTAGGCATTTTCCCCCTCAGGCCATTGTTATAAGCTCCCTGACCTAGTATCATTAATCTTTTTTTTCTTTTTGCACTACAACACAGCAAACTCAAACGTGTGAAAGAAACAAGAAGGACGTTAGCCACAAGGCCGCATGCAAACTCTCAGAGGACGAGCGGGAGAAGGCTACCACAGTGTGGACATCTGACAAGAGAACCTGTGGGGTCACTTGGGGTCATCCCATGGCGCTCACCTTCCACCAGTTGGTCCAGGCTGGAGATCTTCTTGAGCCCGTCGATGGTGTAGATCGTTCTCACTCCCTGGGGCAAATTCACGTTATCCGACAGAGTCCGGGTCAAATCAGCCAGCAGGGCCTCGAACGATCGGAAGCGGTCTGGGGAGATGGCGTACACAATCCCTTTGAAGTATCGGTCTCCGTTTCGATAGAAACGCACCTTCTTGGCCTTCTTCTCGGAGCTGAGCGTCTGCAGCGTGCGCGTGCGGTAGAAGCTGCAGTGCGCGCTGTGCGTCGGGCTGGGCAGGCCGTTCACCCGCGACCCGCGGCTGTACCTCTGCGCCTTATCCCGCTCGTCGAAGTGCTCCAGCTCCATGTCTCTGCCGAAGGACATGATGGACTTCCAGTCGGACCTGCGAGCCCCAGAAACAAAAGCAGACACACACCCCGATGTTATTTGAAGTTCGTGATTTCAAAGGCTCTGCTTGGCAACGGCCGGGTGGAGATGTTGCTGTCAGTGATGGCTTCTTTGATAGGAGTTATCTATCCCACGGGAGAAGAAGAAGGGGCGATCCCGGTGCAAACCACTTATTATTAATCAACCCCAGTTTTCTTGGAAACAACTCCTCAGTACTAACTGCCTACAACGTAACAGGCTGCAAACAGATCTTATTTCCAGTAGTCACAACAGACTTTCAGAGTATTGTCATCCCTCTTTACAGATGAAGAAACTGAGGCACAGAAAAATTTCTCCTAAATGTCTCCAAGCAAACAAGTGGAGAAATGCTTTAACCAGCAATTCTGACCCAGGTTTGCCTGACTCTGAAGCCCACCACTCCTTGCAGGACACCCTACCTGGTGACAGGTAGAAACTGTGCTTTTGTATCATTATACCGGGAAAGACAAGTGGCCCTGGTGGCCCAGGAAAACAAAGAGAGGGCAGGCAGCATTTAACAGACTGCGAAAGCTTTACATAGCGTTTGTGCTCCCCACAGCCAGATGGAGAGCAAATTAAATCAATCCGTAGGTTGTACTGACTAAAGGAAGACTTCCCAACATATTCACATATTCAATATTTTTAAAAGCAAATTCATCATACCTCATTTATTTACATCTAGTGCTTCGCATAAGTTGGGTTAAAAAAGAAGCAGAAGAAGAAAAAGTAGGAGGAGAAGAAGAAAGAAGAAGAAGAAAAAAGGAAGAAGGAAGAAAGAAGAAAGAAGAAGAAGAAGAAAGGAAAATGTTTACTTCTTCTTTGGAGGACTCTGCCCTTCCTTCCACTAAGGTTCTCACTATCTTTGTGGTTGAGAAAATTGAGGCTTAAAGATGTTGATTAGGCTTGACCCTGTACTACCCGCGTAGCCATGAGAAACCTACTTGATCAACATCTTTAAGCCCCGATTTCCTCAACCACAAAATAGAAAGAAGAATATTATCTACCTCATAGTTAATATTAACTATTAAATAAGTTAATGCACATGAAGCCCTTAGGATAGTGTCTGGCATGTGATAAGTATTAAGATTTTTTTTTTATTAATAAAAATCTGCATTTCTGTTCCTGACCCTGGCACAAAAAGAACTAGGAGGAACAGAGTCTTTCTTTGCTGGCAAGGGAGGCTCCCGGGTCCTCCTGATCTCCACCTACAACCTTCGGAAAAGTACACCTGCACCTTCAGGGCCCCATTTTACTTTCCATTTTACTACTTTTCAGCCAGCCGCCTGGGGGATCCATTCATCCTTGCTAAGGGGTTGCTTGTGGTGCTGCCCCTTGCAGGGGGATCTGTGTTTTAACAGGACAATCTAGAAAGTGGAGTAACCTTTGCATTCAAAGGAATGAAATTTTAATGGCAAAATTTCAGGAACATTGAAATAAAATACAAGGAAAATGGAAAATTGGAGATAAGAACCTTACAAGTACTTCCCAAATCCACCACCTAGTTGATATCACCTCTCTGAAAGTCAGTCAAAACTCAGCAAAAGTACTGCTGTTGGTCCCTGACCTTTCTTTTACCCTCAGTAAACTAAACTCTGATCCATTCAGAGTGGCTAAAAGTTCATGCCCGCAAGCACAGCTAGAGATTTGGTACTCCTGAAATGAAGTGGAAGAAACCAATATTTATTGAATGTCTGGGATGTGCCTAGCACTATTATTCATCAATTATTTGTTTATAATATGCTAAAAATTCTCTTCTAGACCTCAAATTAATCTAATAAGGTAGGTGATATTATCAAGACTAGGGATGGGTATGGAATTTATCTAGGGTCCCAGGGTTGTAACTGAGGGGTTTGGGATTTGAATCCAGATTTACCGTGACTCCAAAGCTGATGCTCTCTATCCCTAGCTCCCCTGACTGGCCCATCAGCAGCATACAAAGCAGGGGGTTTTAAGGCCCTCACTCCAAACTAGCTCAGTGACCTTGAGCAGGCCAGCTCACTGATCCACACCTTGTCTGAACGCAGAGGGAGCAGTGGTCACCAGTGCTCATGATTCTACCTGCTCCTGAGTCTAACACTGACCCCATTGAGAGGCCTGGGGATTGGAGGGAGCAAGTGGAGTGTGATTTAAACCTGGAGTGATTATGAATTCGGTGTATTATACCATACATAGGTAGCTATGAACTGGTTTCATTGATTTTGAAGTTAGGAAACTATAAAACAATTACCACTTTTACATCTAATCCTGTAGGCATTAATTATTTAACAGAACCAGTATTTTTCCCATGATATTGGTAATTGCTCCTACTTAAGTGAGCTCTCCTGTCTTCTAAAAGGGGTGTGTGTCTTGGGGATGGGGCAGAGGATACTGCCAGTACTCACACCAAACTCGCAGAGCTCTTCAAAACTTTGTAAATTAGAAAAGCCAAATTGGCTTCTGAAAGTTTTGTTTGATTTTTAAAGGCAGTGATCATTCTTCTAACCCTAGGGGTTTCGGGGCTTCCTCCCAAATTGATATAAACTAAAAGAAAACAAGCAGGGTTGAAGCAAAGGAAGGCACAATTGTGTTACCAGAGAAAGTGCAAATCTACTTCTGAAGAGCTGTCAGCTAGGCACCATTGGCAAAAGCCAAATAATTTGGCATTGTTTGAATTCCCTAAGGGGAACAGGCTTTTAGAGCCAAGAACTCCACACCAAATGAAAAAAAAAGAAAAGAAAAGAAAAGAAAAGAAAGAAAGAAAAGAACAATTTAAAACACAGGAAAGTTTATTTTGTTTTATTTTATTTACATATTTCCTCCAACTAGATCACACCTTCCTCCAATGGAAAGGCCCCCATCTTTTACTTCTCTTCACTGAACTTGTCCAAAAGTGGGCAGTGATGTTGTCGACAAAGAAAAACCACACTCAAAGTGAGATCATTTTCAAGACTCCAGCTACCACTAAAAAACGACACTCCACACCCTAGTGTGTTCTGGTAATTATTTACAGCATCAAAATAGGTGCTCTTTCCCTGGCCTTGGCTGTCTCAGCTCTTCAGTTGGCTTAGTCATGCATTTCAACCAAGAGCTCCTGAAAAAGATTCGCTGGCCTCCCCCAGGTTCACACTTTCTGCACAGGAAGCCTGAGAGAACACACAGCCCCATGTTCATGGACCATAGGTGGCCTAGGGCCTGGGTACACATGTTCCGTGGCACCAAATCGTAACCACGGGGACTCAGCCACGGAGCCACAGACCCTGAGTGGGGAAGAAGGGCTACTGGCTCTTATCAGAGCTTTTCCTATAAATACTGCCATGCCCCGAAACCAACATCCATGATTGTTCTTGGTGGGATTTCTCACCATTTGGAGGAAGCTCTGTTCACCCACATGAGTTCTTGTTTCAGAAATTTACAAACACCCACCCCAAGAAAAACCATTGGCATAAACGCCACCACATCTAAGTAGATGCTGGACCTGGAAGTCCCAAGGCATATTTTAGCAGTGGGATTAGGATTCACGTAGATGCACAGGCGTGAAATAAAAGGCACACACAGATCTTGTGTGCACACACACCACCACAGAGGTAGATGTCACAGGGTGTGTGCATATCTTTTATAATTTTCCTCCATATGACCTCTCTTAAAATCCCTTCTGACCCGCATCCGTGTGACATTTCATAGTTAAAACGCTGTCCTACTTTCCTTTCCCACTGAAAGACAATATATTTGGGAACAGTCATAAAACGTATTCATGGAACATCCTGCAGTGTGGCCGCTGAACGCGTGTGCACCGTAACCTGGACACACATTCCCAGGTGCGGCAGAGAGGGAACGGGTTTGAATGAAACCTTTCATCTGCTCTACCACCGACAAGCACCTCCTTGCCAAAGACAGCTGCGATTCTGCACAAACCTGGATTTCAAAAGCAGCCTCTTTTGTGGGGCAATGCGGGGCTGTGCGTGCACTCCCACTAGCAGGAAAATGCCATTTCCTCTCCGCATGCTTTCAGCACTGCAGGTACTAATTCGAACATGAAGCGGCCTCGCTGTCCCCGAAGGAACTTGAGACCCGACAAACCCACTTACAACACCCCCGCTGCAGCCACCACCATGCCCGGATCACCCCCCTGCCCAAGCACACACCCCCCGCCCGGGCACACGGGAAGGCACACACACAATAAGAGGCCGGCCCGGCCACTCCTTCCAGGCGCAGGCTAGACTTGGTCCTCGCTCCTCAGCCAGTTCCGACAATGACAAGCACCTCTCCCGGCTTCTGCGCCCTGGCTCTCCATACCCACTAACAACGCGGCCAAAAGCCTGGGGGCCCGCTCGCCCGACTCCCGGTTTAAAGCCCGGTGGCACCAGACAAAAGAGGCAGGTGCCAGCAGCCCGGGGTCCGCCCGCACGCAACGCCCCCGGGGCCGGCCAGGGCAGGGCGGCCGCCTTTCGAGGAACCGCGGGCGGGGCGGCGGCGGCCGAGCTGGGCGCCCGCCCTGCCCTCGGCGCCCCGCGGCTGCGGGCAGAGCGGGCACTGCGGGGCCCCCGGGCCGCCCTCCCCGCAGCTCCCTTCCCCAGCGAAGGCAAACCACGCACCGGTCCGCGGAGAGATGCCGCCGGGGGTCTTTGTGGCCGCGCTCGGGGCCGCCTCCTGGTGCTGTCCTCGCCGGGCTGGGCGCGGCCGGGGCTGCGGGGCTGCGGGGCTGGGGGCGGCGGCGGGGCCGGGCTGGGCGGCAGCGGCTACTGGAGCGCGGGCGTCTCGGCTGCGGCCACTAGTGCAGGGATGTGCCTCGGCCCGTCCTCATTGAAATGCGGCGCTTCGCACAGCCTCACTTCAGCCTCTCTCTCCGGAGGAGGGCGGCGGCGGCGGCGGCGGCGGCGGGCGCGCTCCCTTATCTGGTCTCACTCGCTCGCGGCCCTCCCTCCTCCTCCTCCGCGTGCGCGCCCCGTCGCCCCCGCCCTTCTTGGCAGGACGCACCCACCACGGCTGCGCCCCGGTCCTGCTCCCTCCCGCGCCCCGCTCCCGCTGCAGCGACCTCAGAGCATCTAGCTTGACTACACCCCAAACCTCCCTTAATCCCCAGAAGTGGTCGTCTGGAGATGGGGGCAGATCGCATGGTGGCCCTGGGGACTGAGGAAGAGAACGTGGACAGAACTGAGTCTGAGCCAGGAAGTGTGCAAGGCAGAGAGGTGAGGCGTGGCCCAGAGGTGAGGCCCCCCCCACCTTCAGGGGAGGCAAGAGAAACAAGACTTCTCCCCCGACCCACACCCACACCCTTTGATGTGACCTCATGGTTTGCCACCTTTCCCAGGGTATGGAAGCCAGTGGATCACTCTTTCATCGTTCTTGTCCAGGACCCGTCCACGTAGTGCCTCCAGGGAGGACGAGCCCTGGACCCTCCCAAGCACTCTGGTGGTTCCCCCAGCCCCCTTTCCTTGGGAAGGGCCAGATCTGCTCATGAATCCCACCCATCATCCCCACTAGCCCCCAAGATGTGAGTCACCCTTGAAACACTGACCTCTGCTTAGAGCCAAATATCTTACAACAGGCCCCTGAGAACTTAAGGGCCAGGATTCGCTACTGGACGCCTCATGGCTGCCAAGGCTGGTCAGCGGTGGAAAGCCCCATGAGCTCACACAAGCCTTTTCTCCCAGGGCAGGAATGTTCTCAGAGCCCAGGCTGTTCACAGCTTCCTCCAGTTTTTGCACAAAAGTCTAGAAGTGGGAGCAGCTCCAGACTTCTGTGAAACCTTAGCTTGGCTCACTATGCAGCCTGAATTTTGGTCCAGTTAATCTCCTGACTTTCAGTCCTGTCACCTGGGACATGTATTTGTCCCAAATATGCATACATATATAAATACATACGTATGTTTTTCTCTCTTCTTGAGCCTGTAGCTTTCAATGGAAAATCAGAATTCTATTTTTTTCCTGCCCACTGAGCCCAGTTATGTGTTTGACTACTTATTATTGATAAGTGCTATTCTGAAATACTTTCAAAGTATTATGTAAATACTAAATAATTACCATTTGTTTTAAAATGCAGCTCAAATGAGATACATGTTACATATTCAACAAGTGATGCAATATTTATTTTTGAACAATTTAATAGCCCAGGGATGAGAGTACAATGAACTCACCAAATTAACTAAACACAAAGCACTGAGCCTGTTCCCTCAAATTCTGATGCAAAATGAGGGCCAAGGGGTAAGTTAAGAGAAAGGAAGAAGCCAAGAGTATCTTCTTGAGAACAGAAATCAGAGCTTCTTTTTATCTTGCCAGTGACAAAGGCCAAGTGATTTCTGCCAAAATGCTAAACCAAGAAATATTTAATAAATTCCATTTCTTAATCCCTGTGGATATTCTATAAGGGTCATTTCTTAAGAGCCTTAAGTAGCTCAACTGTGTCTTACCTCTTTCCTAGCTGTCCTACCTGGCCCATGCAGATAAAGTGTTCAAAGAAACACCTTCGTGTTTGATTTTCTCAGCAGCAAAGTGCTCCCACTAGAAATAGTTGGGCATCATTAACCCTTTCAGGAAACCAGGGGGCAACTGATAATTAAGTAGATGGTGACATCAAACAATACCCACTGGCCACTACACTGTGGGAGTATCATTTAGTCCAGGACAACAGACTGGTAGCAAATGGCACCCAGTAACGTCACAGAAGTAACGCCACTTACAAAGGCACCTAAGTTACTTCCAGACTAGTTTAAGCCTTTGGCAAATCTAACTCATATTCAGTAATAATCCATTATTAAAATGAAACTTGACCAGGAAACTTCTGATTCAAATAATTTTCAAAACCAGATGTTACTTCCTTTATATCACTAAGGTATTGATCAAAGAAGTGACCGAATTAATGCATCCTTTTTCCCATGAACATCTGAAGTTAGTGGAGACCTCCCTCTAGCTCCCCAAAGCTAAGGCTGTTTATGCTGTGTACCCCAATTGCTTCCCCAAGAAGACACAGTCTACATCCTACAAGATGACAATGGCTTGGCCACAGCTCTGTCAGTGGCTCCCATTAACTTAGTGCTTGCTTTTTGCTGTGCTGGGGCTTTTACACATTTTCTTATTTTATCCTCATAAGATCCATGCAAGGTAGATACTATTATCCTCATCTTACAGATAAAAGAATTTAGACACAGAGTTTACATCATTAGCCCATAGTCATGCAGCTAAAAAATGTCAAGCCCAAGTCCAATTTTCGAATCCCTGTGTTTTAAAATTATAGTCAGTTTTCTAATCGCTAAGGCCATATGCTTTTTATAGGCAATACCCAATTCTAGTGCAAAATGTAATATCTTTTGGAAAATGCAGTTTTTTAATCAAAGAGTTTATTTCTTCATAACAGAGAGAGTTAACTCTTTGCTAGTATGAACACTGCTTCCTTTAGTGATGAGTACTATCCAATGTGTCTACTTTCGGCTAAACTTTTCACGAGAACATTTATACTTTAAGTACTGACACAATGCTTTATGAGCAGTCTTACCTACATATGCTTGTTTTCTTGAAACTAAGTTCTCAGTGTAAACCAGGAGAGAGAAAGAGAACCAAAAAATAATACCTTTTAATTGACCATGTATCTGTGTTCAGGTGCCTTCTACTGGCATCTTCATAGAAAATATGCTTAATCGTGTAATTCGGATAGACCTACAGAATAAGGGACATTCACAGGAAGAGACGCACTTCCTGTTTTTCCCTCTAGAAGGGAGAATTTACTCTGGCCCATTCATAATTGCTTCTCTGCGGCCGCAGGCATGTAGTGCTCCTGGGTTGGGACACTGTGCATATTTAGTAGCCACCACGATTATGAGAATATTGTAGAGTATGATCATCATTTTTATTTCCTTTGTATTTCTTGCAATATGGTGAAGGCTCTTTATGGCATTTCCCCATAGTTTGCCAAATTCCGCCCTAATTACAGAACACATACTTCTGCCTTCTACTGGAATCACAGAAACTCGGTGATGAGAGACCTTAGCAGTAGCATATCCAATTTTTACCCAGTGTATGAGTTCCTGCCACAACAAGTGGTCTTTCGGCATCCACTCTGTTGCTTCTCAAGTTGGCACATGCGGCGAAAGTGAAGAGAAATAAGATCATCCCTCTGAGAGTTAGAATAGATCACAGGATTATATATATAGTAGATGAGATCTTTAAAAAATAATTGTTTCAAGTGGCCATTTATCTCTATCTTGGCACTCCAAACATGCTGAGGTCCAAACTACATTAGGTTCTGCACAGAGGAAAAAGGGCCCCTCCCACCCTGATATGTCCTCCATAAATTGACAGAGAGCGTCTCAAAGCTCGTGTCTCCCTTTGCTGTCTAAGTATAATTGATTTTAGTAAAGGGGAACTTTGCCCAACCCACTCCCCTGCTGGACAGCTCCTCAAATTCAACTGAGATCCACTACCCTGGGATTTTCCTGTTGGCCCCCGGTCTACCCTTTGAACCTACAGAGAACAAATCTAATGACCCTGCCTTTTACTTATGGATTATATTCTCCCAAATTTGACTCCTCATTAACTAGGAACACCCAGCTCTTCATCTGCTTCTCAGATGACATGGCTGGAAAACCCCACAGCAGTGCAACTGTCAGTATGTCTTTCTGCATCTACCTCCCAGAACTGGACATGGCATGGCAGGGGTGGTCTGACGAGGGAAGCTCCATGACTTCTTTGGTTGTTGACATGCTGCTTCTATTAAAGGATCTAACATCAAATCAATGTCTCTGATAGTCACGCCACGCTATTGACTCACCCGGTCAACAGCATGGCATGCAAAAGTAATTGTGGTTTTAGCATTGTTGAAATTTGCTGTTTGATATTGGAATACATTCTTAAATAAATGTGGTTATGTTATATATCATTTTAATGCACATTTCTCACTTTATGTTTTTTTGCTAAATGACTTATTACTTGCTGTTTATTTTATATTTATTTTAGACTATGGAAATGATGATAGACAAGCAAATTTGAGCGATTTTCTTATTCGAGTTCAAAATGGGTCGTAAAGCAACAGAGACAACTCACAACATCAACAACGCATTTGCTCTAGGAACTGCTAATGAACATACAGTGCAGTGGTGGTTCAAGAAGTTTTGCAAAGGAGATGAGAGCCTTGAAGATGAGGAGCTCAGTGGTCAGCCATCGGAAGTTGACAATGACCAATTGAGAGCGATCATTGAAGCTGATCCTCTTACAACGACACGAGAAGTTGCCAAAGAACTCAATGTTGACCATTCTATGGTTGTTTGGCATTTGAAGCAAATTGGAAAGGTGAAAAAGCTCGATAAGTGGGTGCCTCATTAGCTGACTGAAAATCAAAAAAAGTCATCATTTTGAAGTGTCGTTGTCTCTTCTTTTATGCAACGACAAAGAACCATTTCTTGATCAGATTGTGACGTGCGATGAAAAGTGGATTTTATATGACAACTGGCGATGACCAGCTCAGTGGTTGGACCGAGAAGAAGCTCCAAAGCACATCGCAAAGCCAATCTTGCACCAAAAAAAGGTCATAGTCACTGTTTGATGGTCTGCTGCCAGTCTGATCCACTACATCTTTCGGGATCCCGGGGAAACCATTGCATCTGAGAAATATGCTCAGCAAATCGGTGAGATGTACTGAAAATTGCAACACCTGGAGCTGGCGTTGGTCAACAGAAAGGGCCCCATTTTTCTCCACGACGACACCTGACCGAACGTCGCACAACCAATGATTCAAAAGTTGAACGAATTGGGCTATGAAATTTTGTCTCAACTGCCATATTCACCAGACCTCTCACCAACAAACTACCACTTCTCAAGCATCTCAACAACTTTTTGCCGGGAAAACACTTCCACAACCAGCAGGATT